ATAATGCACCAGCAAACTCAGACAACATGTAAAACTTGGCAGATCTGCAACATGGATAGCTCAGAAAGGTCTGACACGGCCAGATCCACGGGCAGTGATGGACAAGCCCAGAATTACTTTTAGAACATTCTACAGACCGACAAGAGCAACAACAGGCAAACACAATTTATAGTTTCTCAAATAGGGCAGCTGGAAGAGGAGCTCAGCCTACCAAAGACACACAGATGTTCAGCTACGACAAGGATGCAGGATCCAACTTTTCTGCCTGTTCTCAGGTATTAGATCACGCTAACTTTCCTACAGTAAATACTGTACACACACAGTAAGCAAAAAGAGATAGGATGAGGGCAGTCAATGATGTCCATTCCTAGCTTTAATGCTGGACCACTATCCTGGCCAAGTCAATTAACCCAGGGTAGACCAGTCCACCCAGCTGTAAAATGAGACCTCCATTTGTGCTCTATGGGGAGCAGACAAATACTCCCTAAGATGTGTACCACTGAGAGAGCATTCTTGCCTTGACACACCATTAAAAATAAGACAAAAGCTTTATATTCCACTTGGGAAAAAGTGAAGGAGGGAGAAAGAAACTTCGTTTACCTTTGGATGGCCCTTCTTAAGTCACTGTATCCCAAACAATCCCAGCAAACATGCTCTGCTGCTCTGGGACATGATCTCACACTGCAGAGCACTCCCGAGCTCAGCCAGCCTGACATAAGCAACGGGAAAAAACCCAGAGCAGAAACAGAGCAGAGATAGGGGGAGCGCCACGCGTCTGCTCACTCTTCCTGGTCCAAAAATACACTGTCTGATCTCAGACACAATACAGGCTATGATCTCTGAGAAAACTCTAAAAATCTTATTGCCCAGCAGAGACACTTTTTTGCAGTAACAAAGATAGATGTGCTGTCTGATGACACAGAGGAGCTCTTGGCCTTCAGGCAGTCAGGTGTATCACCACTGAGTAAAGCAGCTTGTTCTCACCCCAGGTTCTAATTCCTTTGTCAAAGTATTGCACAAGTGACACTCAGTATTTGCAAAACACTTCCTCAGGTGGCCTATTTGACATCAAATGCAGATGGTTTACTGCCTATGCAGCAAATAAGGTCATTTTGGGGTTCCAATTGGTCATGGCTTGGTCATACAGCAAGCAGCCAGATTCATTGTGGAAATGTTTCAGATGTTTTGCTTATGACACTTGGGTGCTTCCTCTCTAATTCTGCCTCCTCTCCTTCTTCTGCTTCAACACCTCTACCTGTATCAGAGCTAGATATAAACAACACAAACTTTCCAGTTTCAATCTACTGGTATCCCAAATCATCCACATGCTGAAGGCCAAAACAGAAATCTCCTCCATCTGCCAAGCTCTAGAGAAATGACTACATCTGCCCCATTCCTGCAGAACTCCACACTTTACCCACGTCAGTTCTTTAGCTGCCAAGGTCTGTAGCGTGGATAAGACACATAGCTTATATGAATTTAAACTGGCTCTGTTCATTGGGGTGCCGTGCATACTTAACTGTGCGTGTGTGTGTGTTTTCATACCTTGTACAGTTTGCTGCAGGATATGTTCAGAAGCTGGGCTAGGTTTTTTAAAGCCCTTTATGGCATATGACACCCTCTATTAGGCATGGTTTTGGAGCTTGAATTCTATGCTTGCCTTCATGTTGCAGTGAAGTACAGTAAAGACCTTCCAGAATCTACAGTGTTATGATTTTCATAGCACTTTGCATCACAGTGTGACACACAGAAAGCTCACAGGCAACAGAAAGCCAAGCAAGACAGAGAGTAGGTTGTCAGTTTTCTAGATGTACTGAACAACTGCAGTTCCTTCCACTGAATCAATGTGGCTCACAGACCTTCCCAAGGTCAGGTTTTACCAAGTCTGCAGCTGTAACAGCTATTCTTTTCTTTGCTGAATTTCAGATTTATACAGCAGCCTAGGATCTGACACACAAACGGAGGACAGGTCAGCATTACTGTCCTAGTTTGCAACCGAGATTTTTTCAGCAGAAAAACAGTGCACATAACAAGTCTATTCCAGAAAGAGAGCACAAAAGAGCAATGCAGAGTTTGCAGCTGATTTAGCACAGCTCAGGAAATAACAAAAGAACTAGGCTGCACACCTTTGCCAAGTCACATCAGGTCAACCAGTGCCCTCATCTATCATGCCACAAGTCTGGCATCTCAAGCGCAGCCTCAACCATCTCTCCTCTTATGCTAGGAAAGAGCAAACTGTCTCCTGTATAAAGTGCTGCTAGCAATGTTTATCCCACTGGCTATGCTAAATAATATCCACAGAGGTCAACACAGTAAGACACGTACAAATCCATCCTGGAGCAATGAAATGTTCATTTCTGGTATACTGGGCAGTATAAATTTCATTTCCAGGTTTCAAAAACTTTTCAAAGCCAACTGTTTAACCTGATAGTCCTCAGGTTCTGGGCTTTTTTCCCTTAATGTCAGTTTTTGCTCCATTTTAATAGAACCTCTTTAATTTCCTTTACAGCTAAGTACCGGTCAGAAAAAAATGGCAGAAATTTCCCTTACACCAGCTGTTATAGGATCTAGTGTGGATTTTCAAACAGAATAGAGTTGCAGCCTGCATTCCAAAAAACTCCGGTGAACCATGTGAAGAGCATTGTTCTAAAGCAATTGGAGAGATGACTGCACTCCTGATTTAACTCATTTATTATCCTCAGTGTACAAAACAAGTAGCTGCAGTAACATCATTATACTGAGAGTACTGAAAAGAACACAACACAAAATAGAAAGCTTAATCTACATTTTTGATACAAGCTGTTTAGCAGCCTCAGCTCTACAATTGTGGGAACTAGTGGTACAACTTTACAGAATCTGGCCTCATGAAAACTCATTCTTTGCACAGTGTGCAAACGTGAAATGCAAAATAAACAACCTTGCACCAGGTAGAGCATTTAAGATTAGTGAGCTCAAAAACCCAGAGCCACCTATGGGCTCCGAGTTGTGCAGACATACCTCTTTGTATTCCTATTTTATTCAACTTCACCCAATTCCTCTTGGTTCTTCACATGTGTACATCAGTTCCCCCTGTCTGATGCCAGAGTTCAGCTCACAGGTTGTTCTTTTTGAAAGGATTTTTGGGGAGGATCAAACAGAAATGCAATCTCTTTTACATTGTAAAATAGCTCAGCTCCCACCAGACTGAGACCTCAAAGAGGTTGGTCCAGTGCAAACTACAATAAAGCACAGAAAGATGGTTTAGCAACCAACCAACAGAATGAAAACAAGTGGCCAGTAAAGGTAGTTACACGGACCAGCCACATGCAAAGTATTATGGCAGAACACGCAGCTTAAGAGTGACAACTTTCTGTTTTCCTTCTTACTTGAAGTTTTTCTTAACTTAAAGTAATTTATCAGGACTGAAATGACAGAGGCTACCTTCTGTCCAGTATGTTTTTCTGCACCCTAGCCAGAAAATCTGGAGCCTTAAAAGGAAAAAGTTCAAATCTACTGTTATTCTCCAAAGGTCTTCTTCACTCCTGATTAACCAGGCTCTTACCATGAAGCCATCAGCCACAGCTCCAATGGGAGTGAACACAGCTACAAGAAGCCTTTAGGGCTACTGAAATCAGCCAGCAGGTTTGGCACAAGCCAAGGTAGGCCTGCATAAGGTGAGATTAACTTGCAGCATCCAAAATGTACGGACAGAAGACAGTGCAGTCTGAGAAGAATCAGGAATTGTCTCAATAAAAAAACCCAACAGGTTACCCAGCATGGAGGAGAGGAAAAAGCACCATAATTCTCGCACGTGCAGAAGAGAATAGGAAGAAGAGAGAGTGCTAACCTCTGTAGGTGTGAAGAATGAATTTTAAGAATTAATTATTTGTATGTTACCATGATTTCATACCAACTTTAGAAGCTGGAACTGAGTACAGTAAAGCCCAAGGCGGGAAGAAGAAATCACATTATTTACAAAGCTCCAGAGATGTTCTCCTTCCCTGCTCACCTGTCCAACAAGCACCCTGCTTTTTTGTTTTGTGAATATGGCCTCAGAACACCTCACTACACTGTGAAACTTCCCAACCATGAGCTGCTTTTGGTAAGTACTAGGATAGAGCTGTCTGTCTGATGTCCAGCAGGCTAAAAGAAAACCAAAGGGAAAACTAGCATAAATACTGGATAGAGGTAATCATAAATACATAATTGGATATACATATCAAACTGGAGAAAGCTAACAAGTCTGGAGAGGCTATCAGTCTGCTGCTGAGCTGAGGAGCAGGAGCTGCCTGACCTGTAAAGGAACTCAACTTGTGGTCAGTGCTCTGAGGGCTCCCCAGCTCTCCACTGTCCCCAGCCTGCCAGGCAGGCTGCCAAGGAGCTGGGCAGGAAGGAAACCAGGGAGGTTTCTAACAGAAGAAACATCCCACTGGAAATTTTCTGACCTGCTCTAATAATGGGCCTACTTTCAGAGTCGGTTATGGTGCTGGCAGAAGGTAGGGAGACCCACTGCATTTTCTGTTTAGTTACTGGCTTCCTATATAAATTTCTTTCTCTACCAGACACACAGCATCAACTGAAGTAATCCTTAAGAAGGATGTTCATAAATCCCTTCAAACCTCTCCACAGTAAATGGAGTTGCTTTTTCTGAGAATGATGACAATTGTTAATTGGTGTTATTCAGAAGGTAACATTTTCTTTGGTAAGGTCTTTACTGCTTTAGGCAACCACATGTACCTTTTGGCAGTGTCCTAAACAAGCCTTGTTGGCAGCATACAGTATATGCCTCGCTCGGAAAGATCGCATGAAAAAACAGTTCACTTTCCAGTTCCAATGCCAAGGCTTTGTAAACTTGGCAAGGCTGACACAACATAAGCTGGCCTGACTGCAGGAATAACTGATGCCTGATAGGTAGCATCCCACAAAGCTGTCTGAGCTGCCCATGCACGTGCAGTTACTCTATAAAAGGAGACCTTCTTAGCCTAACTCCCTGACTACTAACAGTTGACCAACCTACATACCGTTCATTGCTCAGGGTCATTCTTGGAGGGTCAAGGTTGGGGTTCTCCATGGATTCCATTTGAGGACAACGTAGGAAATAGTAGAGGGTGTGGAGAGCATCAGGAGACCAGGAGATGGGTTGTTGCTGCCGGGTTTGCCGAACGGGGCTCATTCCTGGGCGGATGGTGTTCAAGCACTGCATGTGGTGCATTGCTCGCGATACCAAATCACCTGCAGAAAGAGAAAGAATGCAAAAGCATCTCTTCGCTATTCATCCACAGTCCTCTTAAATACACTTTTTGAACTAAAGAAAATTTCTCGCAGCTAAGAGAATTGTCTTTTGTGTACACACATTCTTTTTCCTCTGCAAAGGCGTAAGCCACCCTCAAGCTGCCACTTTGCAGGCTGTCGTATGGGAAATCTAACTTTCTTTCAGACGCCAAGTTTTAGTTAGTAAATACAGAATGAAACTTCTCTCAGACACCATACACTCAGAACAGCAGCTTTACAGCGATTTTTCTATCCTGTTTTAGTGCTGGTTTTCTCCTCATCTATGTGGACCAGTTTCTTGCCTGGCTACAAAAACTACCTATACCTTTACAAAATGTCCACCGTCCAACCAGGGAGCATAGCTTTCACAAGGCAAAGCCAATAACACCTGTACAAATACTTCACTCTCATTGCCAGCATCACCATTTCATGTCATGAGACTGTTCCCACTTCTTTCAACTGGGTTATGATCCACCCTCCCATGCCGGCACTTGTGACAAATTAATGATATTATGTTCAACATAGAAAACCCTTCCTTTAGGGGTCTGCTTCTCTCATTCTCACTCTAGCTGCAGGTTTCTCCAGAATAACAAGACCAGACTCTCTTATTAAAAAGTCAATCTTTATCATGCTGACTTGTCACAAGCTGTGCCAGAAATATGCCCCTGAGCCTTGTAAGCAGCTCAATCCGGGAGCTTTCTGGGCTGCTCTGTCCTCTTGGTCTTTGAACTCAAGCCAGCCTGCCTCTGTGTCAGAGTACTGGTGGACCTGAGGAGGCCTGGAAGACGACGACCTGTATTACACAGTTTCTACTCAGAAAGGGTTTTAAGACTGCAGATTTTTCAGAAGTTCACAGAGCAGTGACCCCAAGACAGCAGTTATGCAGTCACATAAAGCTGCTCTTTGTGTAATAAGCTTGCTTTGGGCACACCCTGTTTACTCTCTTTTTATTGTGGTGCATTACAAACCCTCAACAGCTTTGCAATAAAAGCTTCAGACCCCACATCTCTGAGCAGTGCGACTGCCATACCAGCAAGCTGAATGAGTACTATGGATTACTATACATAGCTAGAATCTATTTTTTCCTTGGGAGACTCCTCTGTTGCTTTATGTTTTACAGACCCCTAAAATTCTCACAGGAAACGTTCCTCTATTGTGTCCTACAGCCACAATACTGGGAAAGGATGGAACTGAAATAGTCGCCCCATCGCAAAGCTGGTTCCTGAGAAGGCGCCCTCAATTTAGCCGTGCCACATATGAATTAGTCACGCCTCCTTCTGAAATTCTTAGGAAGTTATTATTTGTTCATTTTTATGTCATACCAATACACTGAATTTGCCAAACAACCTCTGTTTGAACCCACGTGGTTCTAGTGTTAGATGGGTTAGGGAAACACCCCCAAAGCTACTGCATGTCTAAACACGACAACGTTGTTAGTGGTTCAGATCGATGGACTATTAAAAACCTCAGTTTGCAATGTGAAGTTGTGTCACTTGTTTGTTACGTAGTACATTCCATTTAAGGACCCACTTCAGGACATAAAAACCTTCTGGCATCTCTGACTTTCCACTGCAGTAGCTCCTGACCCTCCAGGAGTACGAGAGTATTGTGAATCCTCTAGCATTAGTACTAACACAGAAGCCTGCACAGTTACAGCAGAAAGGCATCTGGAATTCAAATTTTCAACTCAGAATAACGTTTCTTCTCCTTGCACACTCACTCTCTTTATTTTTCTGGCAATGTGCAGCAACAGCTAAAAAAAAGTAGGCAACTGTATCAGGAGAACTATTCACTACATGTAATGACCAAGTTGCCCAAAGCAGGGACAGGGGAAGAGAGAGAGGAAGCTGTGTTCAATCTTAGACCCACGCTACAAATGTTCTCTTGTGTTCCAGGATAAATAGAGGTGTGTTAAAGGAATTTGAAAACCTCAAATTAAGGCAGGTTGCAAAATAAATGGTGAAACCCACAAACTCCTTGCTGGCCCTGACATTCATTAGCATTCAGATGGTGGAGACTTAAGAAAGCGATGCCAGCAGAAACGTTGCAAGGAAAAAGTAGACCAGGAAAAGACAAATCATTTCTGTTTACTTTAAAGGGGCTTTGTGTGTAGTCTAGAAATGGAACATTTCATTTGGTTAGCATTAAAAAAGAAGGTTTTGAACAAGTTTCTGTTACCAAAGTGCTCTCAGATTTTTTTAATCCACTTTTTGTTTTTTAAGTAACCAAAAAGCTTTTCCTTCAATATCCTCCACTCTTGCCATTTTCACTGCACAAAGACTAACAAAGAGAACCCTCTTCACCATCTGAGGGAGGTGCCACTGCTGGGCTCCACAAATGCACAAGAAAACCTCCAGAGGCACCTAGGCAAAAGCATCCATCTTCTGCTGGCACTAAGCCCACTAACTACCGAAAAGCTAGAAAAGTCACATTTTATACATTTCCAAAGTGAATTAAATATAAAGTAGTCTAATGAACCAACCAGATTTTCATAAACAGCACCACCATTAAATCTTATGCGACATTAGCCAAATGTCAACAATGGCAGCGCTCCCACTGTCCTCAACAGCAGAGGGACCGGCTTTCCTGCTTCAGTGACAAAAACCCGTGTTTGATTACATCCAAAACTTACTCAGTTCAGAGATGCTTCCAACGCAAGTTGCCAACAGAGACTGCTCTAACGTTCGGAGTTCCAGCTGGGCGTAGGCATCAGCCCGTCCATCGCTGCACACGGAGCCGTCGTTGTATGGGCTAAAGTAGGCAGGCAGAGACAGCACACCTGGGGATGAGAGCAAAGGACAGCCCTGTTACAAGTGAAGTTACAGGAGTGCACAAGCAAGAATCTCTGCTCATAAGAGCAATAGGGATGCTCAGACAGACATGTTTGCACCTTTCTTGGGGGACCTGAGGTCTTTTGAACAGTTCAAATAAAATCAAACAGCGCTGTAAATACCACTGGAATGGTTGAAACAGTGAAACTAGGCTCTAGGGAGTAAAGCTGCATGTTTCTACAGCCTTTAAAAACTAGAAACAAATTGCAGTTGAGATAAAACTACTTGAAAAGCTTTAGTGTATAAACTATTGTTTATACAACAACTCAGCTGCGCACACACAGCTTGCTTTTGAACAGCTGTATGCAGATCGCTAGATAGAAGGGCCTGATTTTTAAAGGTGTGGAAGATAAGCTCAGGTTCATCTGAGGTAGATGGTAGCTGCAATCTTTGCAACTCTGAAAATAAAAACACAGTCTATGCCAGCTCTTTGAACCTACATGCAGTTTCAAATCTGCAGACTGTGGTTTCTACATGTGTGAACCTTTGGATGTGCCCAAGTACGCCCACTAGTTTTGAGGTTGTCTATATTTTAATCTCTATAAATGTCCCCTCTACAAGAAAGAGATTAGAGAGATAATTACATTGCACACACACCTTCACCACACACACACTCCTTCCATTTTATCTCATGCGCACATGAGCATTAATGCACAGTAATTACAGAAGTGATGGATTTGCAAGCAGTTTTGTGCAGTTGTTACTGGGACCCCATCCTACTTGGAGCATGTTCCTACATGCCCTGGTGAGACCACATCTGCAATATTGTGTTCAGTTCTGGGCCCCTCAGTTCAAGAAGGACAGGGATTTGCTTGAAAGAGTCCAGCGCAGAGCCACAAAGATGATGGAGGGAGTGGAGCATCTCCCTTATGAGGAGCGGCTGAGGGAGCTGGGTCTCTTTAGCTTGGAGAAGAGGAGACTGAGGGGAGACCTCATTCATTGTTATAAATTTGTAAATGTCGAGTGTCAGGAGGAAGGAGCCAGGCTCTTCTCAGTGACAGCCAATGACAGGACAAGGGGCAATGGTCCCAAGCTGGAGCATAGGAGGTTCAATCTGAACATGAGGAAAAACTTTTTCACTGTGAGGGTGACAGAGCACTGGCCCAGGCTGCCCAGAGAGGTTGTGGAGTCTCCTTCTCTGCAGACATTCAAAACCCGCCTGGATGCATGCCTGTGTGACCTGGTCTGGTGATCCTGCTCTGGCGGGGGGGGTTGGACTGGAGCTTTCGAGGTCCCTTCCAACTCCTGAGATTCTGTGATTCTGTGAACTCATTTGTATTGCTGGCAAATTAGAGATCATGTGGGTGAATCAGCTGGGAATGGTAGCAAAGGCTAAGGATGGTACAAATAACTTGACATATAGTTTCATGTTCAGGTGCAAGCAGTCTGTAAAAGATGCAGTTGTTCACCTCCCCCCAATCACCCTTCCTTTCACCTATTATCTTTGGTTGGTGATCTGCAGCCACACTGCAAGTCAGTGCAATATAAAGATTAAAAAAGCCCAAATATTCAAAAAATATTCAAAAAAACCCAATATTGCCTCCTCTGCTTTCCTCCCAGAAATCTGTTAGTTGAATAGTTTTCCTTCCAATTAGCGAGCTGAATTTTGTTGCTCTGTGTGGCACAGAGGGAACAGTGGGAACGTGACCTCCAGAGCTGATGAGAGGTGAGGAGCATGGGTATGTGACTGAGGCTGAGGTGGGACCTGCCTCCTAGGGTGGATCTGACGAAACACAGCGTGACATTGCATCCACAGTGGCTGTGGGCTCTGAAAAGCCTTCTGCAGTCCACTCTGACAGTGTTCCCACGCCATTGTTGCGGCCACATTTTCAGGTGTGTTCAGTCACTACCATATTTTTAATTATAGGTCTATCCCCCAATTCCAGTAGCATACCCTGGCCCAAATTTTCCATTATTTCAGATAAGGACACTTATAGCCATGACTGCCTGTGCTCTTACCCTGCTGCATCCTGTATTTTTTATTTTTCACCTTTGATCCATGCACAGCCATACCAACGTATTTCAGCTTAGACCCACATTTCCTTCCCACCCTCACCTTCTAACCCTGGTTCAGTCTTAGATGTGGAGACACTTTACTCCTATGGCAGTGACCTCCTGTCACGTAGGTGCTGTGTATTCTCGTCAAACAAAACCCTGCCAGCTGAACGGCAGCGCATTGTGCAAGACCTTTGTTTCTTTGTCTCGATGTTTTCTTTTGAAATTTCATGCTGAATTGATCTCCCCTGCCCTTTTCACATCCTCTTTGCATCCTGCTTGGTGGTAAAGCCAAAGGCTGCATCAAAAACTTCCTGGATATTTTGAGGAGAAGGGAATGATTTATCCCGTTGTGCTTCTTCACTGTACATCACTGTTAGTTAATGGAGAAAACTCTGCCAATGCCCTCTGTAACCTGAATAATTAGGAAGTCGAGGCTTTAAGAGCTAACAGAAGTGGTGCATGCAAACTAGAAGAGCTTGCTTGAAATACACTGTAGCCTCCTATACTGAGCCTAAGCCATTTCCTTTTCCATGTTGAAGCTATGAAAGGATGTTTTAAAGACATATGGATCAAATTTATGGCAGAGGGAGAATGAAAATAGACTGATTTGTCAAAAGTTTCAAATAGAGGCATTTCATTCCACAGAGGTGAAAACAGAAACTGGCAGTTACATTACTAAGCCAGGCAGAGGGAAAATAAAAAAAAGGGGCACATTTACTACGCCAGCCAGTTTCAGTTGGTTCTGTTTTCTAAAAAGGAATTAAAAATAAAGATTTATAGAATGACTTCAGTTGGCTCACAAGTGAAACAACATTTTCTCATTTCTTCAGTTCACAGTTTGCCAGGTGCTGTGGGTAAGAGGAAACAAGGATGATTTATTTACTTTTGGAAAAATTACTCATACAAGATAGTTGCAGACAAGATTTACATTCTCATCTGCCTTGGAATTCTGCTGAGGAATATCCCCTATTTATGAGAGAAATAAGGAAGTCACGGAGACTGTGGCCACACGCCAAAGCCCGATGATGCCACTGGGCATTTTCCCTGGGATGGCAGTGGGGTATGAATCAGGCCCTCGTTAGGTAAGATTTCACAAAGGCTCCCCACATCTGGCAGGTCACCATTGGTAAAAGCAGGCCTAGGAATGAGAAAACACACCTCTCAATATGGCTTTTCAGACAGAGAGCATTGACCAAATGGGCAGCAAAGTAGAAAAACGTGCCCCAGAATTATTACATCTTGCAGCACACTGCTCAGGATTTCCTCTCTGATGTGTTTCCAGTAACTGCATGGAGTTGGAAAAGCACCATCTTTGCTCTTCAGATCAGAAATTCAGGTACAAGGACAAGTCAAGCTTTGTCCACTGGTATTATAATTAGGAACGAGACTTAATCTTTAATACCAATTGAAAGAATGTTCTTTGATAAGAGAGACAACAGCATTGTGATGACTACTAGCACTCCATATGGCAGTACCTGCTCTCCTCCCACCCAAATCAAGAAATTTGCAGTCAAAAGATGTTATACTTAAACTATAGAGGAAATTTCTATCTAGCATTCACATTTTGGTATTTTTGTATTTGTAGCAACGCTGGTTTTAATCATGGCTAGCCAAATAAGCAAAAAAATGTAATTGAAATGTATCAATTCATGTCAAAACACTCACTCTGTTTGAAATCACATTAAAACTGCCGATTTATGTCCTGATGTTCAAGAATGTGTTTTCCCCACAAAACAACAATGGGGAACAGCACCTAATTACCGTGGAGGAGCAAACCATTCAGGCATGCATGCCACTGTTCCTACAGTATTTTCCCTGACGTGGGCTGTGTTGTGCTTCCCACACATTCCTGGCTGTATCCTGGCTTTTTTTTTTTTTCCAATTAACCAAGATTTTAAGTATAGGATCCAAGGTCAGGTGAAGTTAGTGAGAGCCTATTAATTTGAGCATGGCTCAGACCAAACCTCAAGAGCACAAGGAGGTAAAAAGCCACCTCTCTAGAACGGCACGAGACAACACCCTGTGGCAGCCCAATTGAAAGCATGTTTGTAGCGCTGTGACTAAGGCATGGCTGGCTAACAATTTGTTTCTGATATTTCCACAGCCTTTGAAATAGCAGCTGGAAATAAAGGCATATTTATTCTACCTCAGTTAATATACGAAACCTGCTCCTGGGTTCCTGTTGCCAACAATCTTAAAAGGCAGTCACAACTGGATGAAATTCCAGTTAAACAGTTCCTTAAACTCAAATGATTCTGCTTGCCTGAATATTTTGAAATTGTTGTCTGTAATTTGATGCTGTTTAACAGCAACTGAAAATGTTTCCACGGTCTGAACTAGTTCCAGGGAAAAGTCTGGTCACACTCTTGGACACCTTTCTGCTTTAAGAGGTGCTGCAGTTGTGCTGAGAACAGCTCTGATGTGACTGTTCTCCATGAGCAGGGCTGAGTAAAACCCTGCGTGGTTTCTCTGTGCTGGGCAAATGGTCCAGTCCTCAAGCAAGGCAACTCCTGTAACGAACCCTGGGTTTATCTCTGAATGTCCTGTGGTAATTCAGAGGCTTGCATCAAGTTCTGTTCTTTTGAGATCAAGATATAAGTAAATGCAGACTTTCACCTGTTTATTTTAAAATTTTAATGTCTAAAAACCTTATTTCAATTAATTTTTGAAGTGCCTATGTTATCTTCACACTTCACGCTCTTTGCGTGTTACACTCATGAAAAAGGACTAGCCATCATTCTTACCTCGCCTTAACGATCTTCTCTGTGCTTTCTCTACTTTAATCTAAATCCTTCATGTTGAGAGATAACTTCCTAGTGATTAACTCATCAGTCATTCGGTGATTTTCAAACACTTACATGATGTCTGGAGGTTAAGGTGGGTTTGCTCACATGTGGCAAAGGGCCAAGGAGACTTGTCTGGAAAGCACTCAAATTCTGCTGTCAGACAGGTTAGGCAAAGAATCACGAATATAA